TGAAGGCCGAGAGAAGCTCAAAAGCAGCAAAAGATCGCGGCCACGGCCGAGAAGCTTGGACCCGATTTACATTTTACTGGAATAATAATTTGGAACTTTCAACCTTGAGCAAACCGCCAAGGCAACCAGACGACAACGGGAGCGGGGAGAAGCCGCGGGGGCCCTGCCCTTGCAAGAAGGGCCCTGGTGAGCTTCGCGCGTGCCGGCTGTTTCTCCCCGGCCAGTTAGCCTCCCGGCATATGGCACCAGGCAGGCGGGTGGTGCCGCTGAGCACCGAGGGAGCCGCAGAGGAGACGGTGGGCACGCGCGTTCCCCTCACACCCGGCGCCCGCAAAGCTGAACAGCCCGGCGGGGCCGCTCGGCCGCTGGAGCGGACCCTCGCGGCCTGACCCGCAGCAGCCGCGTCCCGCCCCGGTCGCTGCAGACCCTGCTCCAGCCTCCTCACGGCTCCTGGAACCGCCCCTGCCTTTCCCGCTCCACGGTGCCCTGGCTCGTCCCGCTCTGCCGCGGGAGGGATTCGGGCGCCGATCCCCGACCCGCGTTCACCTCGGGACGGGCCGCCCGGCAACGGGGGTGCGCGGAGGCGTCTCGGGGGCCGCGGTCGACCCGCCTGGCCGCAGAGTGCGCGTGTTATTCGGGCACCTAGGAGACACGGCAGGGCCGCGCGGCCTCCCGGGGCGCGTCCACCAGCTCCGGGGAAGTGCGCGGTGAGGGTGCTCTCTCGTCGCCTTATAGCTGGTGGCCTCGCCCGGCTCCCTCCGCAGGTCGTCCCATTGGCTGGTGGCCTCGCCCGGCTCCCTCCGCAGGTCGTTCGCTCCCAGGGCTGTCGGACTGATCACGGCGGCGGGAAAGGTCTGTGGGTGGTGGCCGCGCTCAAATCCCCCAGATGGACCCCTCGAGGCCCTGCGAGGACTATAGCCTGGGAGCAGTTTGCAAATACTGGAACAACAGGCGGCTTATACGCCAGCCGCAGGTGGGGTAGATAAAGGGGGGGTTCCGTTTTGCAAACACACGGACGTTTTAATGTTGAGGGGAAATTGAGAAGAACTGAAACCTGTGGTGATAAATTTACATACATTTTCACGAGGCATAAATGAAAATGTGAATGATTAAGAGATACAAGTGCTTCTTGCATGAGTAGACCCAGTAATGTAGAAATGTGAGTTTTCACTAAATTAATCTGCAAACTTAAGAACATCCAAACTACTTATCCAAAATAATAGCTTTTAAAAAGAAATGAGCTATCAAGCCATGAAAAGACGTGGAAGAACCTCAAATACATAGTACTAACTGAAAGAAGCCAATCTGAAAAAGCTTCATACTCTATGATTCCAACTATATGAAATTTTGGAAAAGGCAAAATTATGGAAACAGTAAAAAGATTGGTGATTGCCAGGGAGGGGGTGAAGGGAGAGATGAAGAGGTGGAGTACAAAGGATTTTTAGAGTGCAGCTATGCTGTATAATACTAAAAGTTTGGATAAATGTCATGCGTGATACATTTGTCAAAACCCATAGAATTAAAACACCAGGAGTCAACTGTACCCCATGAGGAGCCGCTCAGCGTGGGCACCTAGAGAGTGAGCTCAACCAAGCAGGTGGGGAGCAGAAGGTGAGTATCCGTGGGAAAGTAGTTTTATTGGGGGCCGGGATGGAGTATGCAAGAATACATGAGAGAGGGTGTCATTGATACATTTGAATGGTGATAGGTCACATTCAGGGGAGGGCAAAGGGGAAAACTTGTGGCAGGGACCAGTCTTCTCACTTAGGTAACCTGGTCATTGGGGTGGGGTGCTCACAGCCTATTTGTGTGGCTGTTGAGGCAGCAGAAAAATAGAAAGTTTTAAAATTTACAATACAGCGAAATGGGTGAAGGGGGTAAAAAGGTACAAACTTCCAGTTACAAAATAAGTAAGTCATGGGGATGTAACGTACAGCATAGTGACTAAAGTTAATAATATTATATTGCATATTTAATGCTATAGTTGCTAAGAAAGTGGATCTTAAAAGTTCCCATCACAAGAAAAAAGTTTTGTTAACTGTGTGGTGATAGATGTTAACTAGACTTATTGGGGTGATCATTTAGCAATATCTACAAGTATCAAATCATTGTACACCTGAAACTAATACAATGTTATGTCAATTAGAATTTAAAAAATTACAACACAATCTACTTCATGGTGTCTCAACATCATTAACAATACTAATTGTGATGGGTAACGCTTGGGATTGGCAAACTTTGATATAGGAAGAGTCCTATTAGTCATATGACAAGGGTCTGGGACCCACTTCTCAACCAGGTACCCCACTTTGTGGGAGAAAGCCAAGAGAACAGGTTGGGCACTCTGGATTTAAGGGAATCTGTTGGAAGATTTTGGTAATGTCATGAAAGACTTTTATCTCTTGGCCTAATCTTCACAACTTGACCTGACCTACACGTCCGTCAGTACCATTAAACCATAGTGGTAAACCCTAGTGGTATTCTGATGGATTAGTACAAGTCATCCAGTGGGGCTGGGTGCATGGAATGTATGAGCCAATTCAAGAACCAGTCTTGAAGAGCCAGGTGCCCAGAGACCTAAGGGAAAGGACTGGGTAAAGCAGTAGTAACCATTGGGAAGTTGATATCCTAATACTAACTCCAGAGAAAGCAGTGTCCGTGGGGATCCTGACAGTCCAAAATCAAGTCTAACAGTAGCAGTGCCCATAGGGAAATTGGTAGTCCAAAAACAAGTCCAAAGGGGCACCTGGGTGGCTCAGTCAAGTTAAGCATCCAACTCTTGATCTTGGCCTGGGTCCTGATCTCAGGGTCATGAGTTCAGACCCCGTGTTAGGCTCCACGCTGGGCTTGGAACCTGTTTAACAACAACAACAACAAAAACTCCAAAGAGACACAGCAGATGAACTTGTTCAGATGCGTCTGAATGGCAATTCTGAGATTGCAGGACTTACAGAAAGAGAGTGGGAACCACGTTCTTATATGGATCATCCCCCAGGCAAAGCTGGATGGAAGGAAGACAGGAGTGGGAATTAGGGTGTTGTAAGACTAAAGCAAGAAGGGGCGCCTGGGTGGCTCAGTCATTAAGCATCTGCCTTCGGCTCGCATCATGATCCCAGGGTCCTGGGATCGAGCCCCGCAATCGGGCTCCCTGCTCAGTGGGAAGCCTGCTTCTCCCTCTCACTCCCCCTGCTTGTGTTCCCTTTATCACTGTCTGTCCCTGTCTGTCAAATAAATAAATAAATAAAAATCTTAAAAAAAAAATAAAGCAAGAAGCTGGCAATATCTAGAGGGTCTTAGCTTCATCATCTCACAAACATTCAGAAAGGATAGCTGAGGAGGCATCTGGGTGGCACAGTCAGTTAAGCATCCGATTTGGTTTCCGTTCAGGTTATGATTTCAGAGTCATGAGACTGAGCCCAAGTCGGGCTACGTGCTCAGCATAGTGTCTGCTTAAGGCTCTCTCTCCCTCTTCCTCTGCCCCTCCCCCTCCTCTCTAAAATAAGTAAATAAATATAAAGAAAGAGAAAGAAAAAGAAAGAAAGAAAGAAAGAGAAAAAGAAAAAAAGAAAAGAATGAATGAATAGCTGGCCTTTGGGTGGGTACAGTGCAAGTGGAACCAGTTTCTTTTTTTTTCTTTTTTTATTGTTATGTTAATCACCATACATTACATCATTAGTTTTTGATGCAGTGTTCCATGATTCATTGTTTGTGCATAGCACCCAGTGCTCCATGCAGAACGTGCCCTCTTTAATACCCATCACCAGGCTAACCCATCCCCCCACCCCTCTCCCCTCTAGAACCCTCAGTTTGTTTTTCAGAGTCCATCGTCTCTCATGGTTCGTCTCCCCCTCCGATTTCCCCCCCTTCATTCTTCCCCTCCTGCTATCTTCTTCTTTTTTTTTCCTTAACATATATTGCATTATTTGTTTCAGAAGTACAGATCTGTGATTCAACAGTCTTGCACAATTCACAGCGCTCACCGTACCGCATACCCTGTGGAACCAGTTTCTAATCCCAGGGGACTTCACAAGCATCAGGAGATCTGGTCTGCTATTGTTTTTTGTTTTTTTTTTTTTTAAGATTTTATTTATTTGACAGAGACACAGAAGAGGGAACACAAGCAGGGGGAGTGGGAGAGGGAGAAGCAGGCTTCCTGCTGAGCAGGGAGCCCGATGGCAGGGCTCGATCCCAGGACCCTGGGACCATGACCTGAGCCGAAGGCAGACGCTTAACGATTGAGCCACCCAGGCGCCCCTATTGTTACTGGTAGAGGTGAATCAAAACCTGCCTTGAGTATTTTGAGAACTACCGGATGGACAAAGGACAAGTACAAGGAACAACCTTCTATGCTATTTTCAATTCCATTTCCACATTTTGAGATGATTCAACTAATCTTCTTTAAAGAAACTTCTGGAGGCAGCCAAAGGGGTCTAGGGTTCTGAACAGTACCCAGAGGGTGGAGGTGTACTGAATTGCTTTTTTGCAAATACTCTCCCATATTACAACAAGAACTAACGTTCAGTGCCAACACTATTTTTGAGCTTTGTATAGATTACATTATAGACATTGCTATAACCCTGTGAGGTAGGTGCTTTCTTTCTCCTGTTTTTACAGATGAGGAAACTGAAACCCAAAGGGCTTAAGTAACCTGATCAAGCAGAAATGTCTAGGAAGCCAGAGACTGGGACTAGCATTCAGGCTTCTGACTACAGAGCCCTACTGTGTTCTCTGTTTGCCTCTTAGGTGTCCCATTGAATTATAATTGATCTTTGCTGCCTACTCACTGGTCTGTACACTCCCTGAGGGCAGGGCCCTGGTTTTATTATCTGTACCCACAGATGAACCTCCTTCTCCCATGCCCCATCCAGTTAGTATCCCCATTGGTTGACTTGGTTCCGTAGAGGAAGTCCATGTGGTAACATGAGCTGACCTCACATTGGTGGCTCCAAGTCAGAACCCAAACATTCTATAGGGAGCAGAGTTTCTTAGTTCCTCATAAATATAGGGCAGATACTACACTATAGCTAAATATATCCTTTCATCCATATGATAAAAGACTAACAGTTTTGGAGTGATGGACAAGGTTCAAAGTTCTTTCACCTTTCTAGTTTTGTTTTTAATGGAATGCCCACTTCTTTTATGCTTGCCTTATGGAGGTGAGTTCCAACCAGTTGAACTAGCAAGAGACTTAATGGGTAGCTTCAACCATTGTTTTAACTTGTTTCAGGGGAAATAAAAAGGGGTAATTACATTTCACTGCTACAAGTTTTCTTTCAAAGGCTACAGATAGTCACAAACATCCACAAATGTCACTAAGCAGGAAGGTGTTTTCTCGGGACTCAAGTCATTGTGTTACTCATTGGGTGAAATGAGAACCATAGTCTGGGGTCCTCCTATTTACTATATGAATGTGTCTTTTCTTGTGTATTTGTTAGTAGCATGCTCCATACAATAATATAATTAGATAAGCATTGCTTGGAAATTAGTTTGATATTATTCTCTCTCCATAAGCTGGGCTTTCTTTTTAAGGATTACTGTGCTTCTTTTTCATTTCACTTAGCACACAGAGAAACTTTGACTGCCTCAGGATCTTTTGAATGTGTCTGTATGACTTTAATTGTAATTTGGGGGATGTTATGGTGGTAGACCGTGGGAATCCAGATACAGATGCTTTGCAAGTGTAAAATGTTCTTTATAATCATCTGTCTTCTATGCTTTGCATTTTGAGTCCAAAAACTCAAAGTTTATCTCAAAACAGAGAAACTGACCCTGACAATTGGGGAAGTCAGGCAGTAACTCCTCATGAAGATATATGGTACTTATAAACAATCTCTATTCTGTACAAGGGAAATGCTATCTGCACAATATAATAGCATCTCATTTCTGTAGGAGGAAAGGATATTGCCATGGGGCCCTCCCTGACCCTGGCTCTCTGACTTCTGATGAGAGCACAGACCCCTTCAAATCTGTCAGGTCCTCAACCAGCTCATGTGACTGCAAAAACAGACCAGAAGCCAAATGCATTATGTTCTTAACTCTCCATATTCATGAAAGGAAACGCTGGGTGCAAACAGAACAAATTGCCAATTAAACCACCTATTTCTATGAGGCATTGTAATAAATTTATTAACAGCATTTACTGTCTTAGCTATTAGGTCCCCTTGTCTAATACCAAGTTATTTATTTTCCTAAATTTGTCTTAAACTTGTGTCTTCTCTCTGATCCCTTTGTACGGCCTTCTAGCTCTGAGACCTACTATGCCCAAGCAATTCCCAGGGCATAATGGTAAGTCAAGGGATCTGGGAGGGGGCTGGGATTCAGGGACATTTCCCAAAGCTGTTGTGGTGTATGGCTCCAGAGGGCGCCCCACAGTGGTCATCACTAATCTGTACAGCCCTTTCTGCAAATTAGAAAAAGGAATGCCCTCTGGATGGTTGGTTTTGTCGTGATGACACTCAGAGCAGATTAGAAAATAGCACAGATGTCAAAGCATCAGGAAATACAGAAAATCTTAAAAACACAATTAATACATGCAGCCATCCCAAACACATTATTAGTTTTTCTAAACTCAGCTATGAATATATCACTTGCCTGTTCACCCCCCTACCGCCAAAGCCCAGAGATTGAATTCTTGCCAGGGTATCAGGAGACCTGCATTCTAATCTTTACTTTGAAACTAACTTGTGTTATGAGCTTGCTTGCACCAGAGGTTTGCTGAGACCTCTGCTGTGCCTGAGCTTTGGGTCCCAAGTTCAGGTTCCAATATGTAGTTAGAGGACAGAATTGTTTCAGATCATTGGAAGACTCCAATTTTCTCTGTAACCCTTAGCTCTTGGTTATATGGAAAGATGCCTAATTTATAATAAGGGAAATACGCATCCCAGTTTTCAGCTATCATGTTGAAAGTGAACAAAACGTTTCATTAAAAAAACTCGCAAAGGAATTGGGAAATATAATCTCTCGCTTTTTTTTTTTTTAAGTAGGCTCCACACCCAGTGTGGAACCCAACACAGGGCTTCAACTCACAACCCTGAGATGAAGACCTGAGCCGAAATCGAGTCAGACGCTTAACCGACTGAGCCACCCAGGCGCTGCTAATCTCACATTTTTTTAATTGAAGTATGATTAACATATAATATCCTATTAGTTTCAAGTGTATATAATCTCATATCTTGTGTGTAGGCAAGGAATGAGTGCAACTTCTGTAGAGGGCAATTGCCAATCCTTATAAATATAAAAAGAACATATTTACTTTTTGGCCCAGAGTATTGAAATATACCTGGGATTTATTTTAATCAGGTATGATAAGACATACAGACACAGAAATGATTGTTCATGAAGGAAGAACATTATACTCACAGATTCCTAGAAGCAGGAAGCAAAAGGGAACAAGAGGGAAGAGCATGGCCCATTGTCTTTATTGGTATTTTCATGGGAAGGAATGGGTGAGGTGGGGTAGGTACACAGAGTAGTGGATAGTTGGAATGATTTTGGTGGCCTCTGGGCTATAGGGATGCTTCCTAGTTGTCCAGCACCTGGCCCTGGGATAATTTAGGGCAGGGGGAACATTGGCTTGGTGTGTGAGAGGTAGCTGGGGCTGTGGACTCTGGATTGGTTGGTTTATATCAAAGGCATGCTCTCGGGGGAGTTGTCCGTGAACTGTAGGAAATAGCTAACCCTGGGAGGGACAGTCTGTCCAGGATCAAAACCTCAAATGTGAGAGCATCAAAAATACAAAAAATAGGAAAGCCTGGCTGGCGCAGGCAGTGGAGCATGCAACGCTTGGTCTCAGGGTTGTGAGTTCGAGCCCCACATTGGGTGCAGAGATTACTTAAAAATAAAATACCTTTTAAAAATACAGAAAATAAGAAAATATAGTCAATATACCCAGAAATTTCATTTCTAGGAAATTTGATTTCTAGGAAACTTTATTAAAAAAATATGTTTCTCAGAGGAGTGCCTGGGTGGCTCAGTCGGTTAAGCGTCCGCGTTCAGCTCAGGTCATGATCCCAGGGTCCTGGGATCGAGTCCCACCTCGGGCTCCCTGCTCTGCAGGGGGGGTGGCTGCTTCTCCCTTTCCCTCTGCCTGTTGCTCTCCCTGCTTGTGCTCGCTCTCTGTCAAATAAATAAATAAGATATTTTTTAAAAAATAGGTTTCTCGGGGCACCTGGGTGGTGCAGTGGGATAAGCATCTGACTCTCGGTTCAGCTCAGGTTGTGATCGCAAGGTCTTGAGATCTGAGCCCTGCTTTGGGCTCTGCACTCAGCAAGGAATCTGCTGGAGATTCTCTCTTTCCCTCTGCCCCTCCCCCTCACGCTCTCTCTTTCTTTTTCTAAAATAAATAAATAAATCTTTAAAAAAATATATGTTTCTCATTTCCCTAACCCACCTACTCTCCTGTTCTGCTTGGTGACTTTCACATCTATTTTTCTTGCTGTGCAAAACCCCCAACTCACCCTCAGGGGATGACCTTGTTTCCTCCATCACTGGCAAAATACAAGCAGTCAAAAGAGAGTATCTGCATCCGCCTCCCCATCTACCTGCAACTGCACCTTCCTTCTCTTTCTTCCTTCCTTTCCAGGTGAAGGATGGCCCCAGCCAGTGCGCCAGCATCCATCTCCACCAACTGGCATAGGCACAGTTGGCAATTCTTTCCTCATTTCCTGTAGTATCACAATTTAAAGTATCACTCCCATTCTCCTGTGAATGTGCTGCCAGTTCTCCCATCTTAGAAAGCAAAACCCATCTCTTGATCCCTTATCCCTTCTGTAAGCTGCCCTCACTTCTCTCCCCTCCAACACCAACGTTCCTCAAAAGAGTTTCTGAAACTCACTATCTCCAATTCCTTCCCTCCTGTTCTCTCTCAAACTATGTCAGTCACTAGCATCCCCACCACATCACTAGCCCTGCCTTCATCGATTTCTCCAGTGACCTTCCCGTGGCCAAATCCAGCGGCCAGTTTTTAGTACTCACTATACTGAAACCATCTGTAAACCATTTTTCCTCCCTGCCCCAGTATTTCATTGGGAAAACCTGAAAGCATACAGAAGGGCAGAGAAAATCGTAGAGTGAACACCCATATTCACCATGCCTGCTGTCTACAATTAAGTATTTTACACCGCTAGCCTTTTCGTAGTCCAAGTTCTTTTCGTCACGTTTGGCTGAGCTTTCATTGATGGGTGAACCTCAGGGCATTTTTAGTTCAGTTGCTGAAATCTTTCTGCGTCAGGGAAGGGACAGAGAGTGAGGGAAGGCCACGTGCAGGATGAAGAGTAATCACCTCAATTTGTCAGATTTTACAAGTGGCTGAATAATGTACTTGCTTTGCCAGTTGCTCTTTTGTTCGATTTGTATGAACAATAACTCTCTGGTTATAATTTTTTAAATTTCAGGTAGTAGGAAAGGTGATACACGTAACCGTATAAAGAACAACCAGAGTTTTATTGCACACTCAACACCCACGAACACCGACACCTGGAATGCAGGTTCGTGGAATGGCATTCTCAATTTCTCTGTAACATCCTTTCGGCACAGCCCTGCACACCCTAAGACCATCGGTGCAACCCCTGAGCCATCAAACTAAAGCCACTTTCCTTTTAGCTACAGAGATGGCAGGTGCTGCTAGGCTGAGTCAGGGATCCTGTATTTCTACAGAGTAAAAGAGGACTTTGACAAAGGACAAGAGGCAGAGGAAGCAAATGGAGTTAGGGATTACTTTATGTGGGAGTTCAAAGTATATTTGTTCACATAGGCTGTGCGATCTAGCCTCCGTAGTTTTAAAAATTAAGGATACTATTTTTTATGGTACTTCTGATTTTGTCTCCCAACCGCCTTTGAAATAACAGTATGATTAACAAATATATTAACTGATAGACACAAGTGAAATGAAATTTTATGAGAACTTTTCTTTCCATTTTTAGCACTGATTTCGCACAGACCTGCTCTTGTTCAAGTAATTATAATTGCGTGTGTAGCCTTTACCATTGCCCTGATATGTGGAATCGCTATTTCCTATGTGATATAGTAAGTATGTCCTAAGTAACATGTACCGTCCTCAACTAAGACACAACAAACTAACTAGGTTATTGTTTAGTAACGTTAATGATGGTGATGGTAATTCTTATAATCACTACATTATTATAGTCATGCCATATCTGCACACTAGCGTTTTTCAGAATATGGACTGTACTCATGGTGGGTCACAATAGAAATGAAAAAAAAAAGGATAGGACAGAATACAATTTAATAGGATAAAAATATTAAACATTACATTTTGTAAATGATGATTTTTTTAATTTTTAAAATTTTTAATTTATTTCTTTATTATGTTACGTTAGTCACCATACAGTATGTCATTAGTTTTTGATGTAGTGCTCCATGATTCATTGTTTGCATGTAACACCCAGTGCTCATCCCAACATGTGCCCTCCTTCAAACCCATCACGGGGCTACCCCCTCCCCCACCCCCTCCCCTCTGAGACCCTCAGGTTGTTTCCCGGAGTCCAGAGTCTCTCGTGGATCGTCTCCCCCTCTGATTCCCCCCCTTCATTTTCCCTTCCTTCTCCTAATGTCCTCTGTGCTGTTCCTTATGTTCCACAAATAAATGAAACCATATGATAATTGACTTTCCCTGCTTGACTTATTTCACGTAGCATCATCTCCTCCAGTCCCATCCATGTCGATGTAAAAGTGGGGTATTCATCCTTTCTGATGGCTGAGTAATATTCCGTTGTATACATGGACCACATCTTCTTTATCCATTCATCTGTTGAAGGGCATCTCGGCTCCTTCCACACTTTGGCTATTGCGGACATTGCTGCTATGAACATTGGGGTGCATAGGGCCCTTCTTTTCACTACATCTGTGTCTTTGGGGTCAATACCCAGGAGTGCAATTGCTGGGTCATAGGGTAGCTCTATTTTCAACTTTTTGAGGAACCTCCATAGTGTAAATGCTGATTTTTAACTTTTCAGAAAACAAACACACAGTTATGAGATAAAATGTATTTCCTATTGTGGATCATGGTCAAAATGCTTGAAAGCCACTGAGATGCTGGCATCCTCCCGAAATGTGGTGTTCTAAAGGGAACTTGAGGCATCTGAATAAGCAAAGAGGAAGTCAAACTCTCACTCTTTGCAGATGACATGATACTCTATCTGGAAAACCCAAAAGACTCCACCCCAAAATTGCTAGAACTCATACAGGAATTCAGTAAAGTGGCAGGATATAAAATCAATGTGCAAAAATCAGTTGCATTTCTATACACCAACAATGAGACAGAATAAAGAGAAATAAGGATTCAATCCCATTGACAGTTGCACCCCAAACCATAAGATACCTAGGAAGAAACCTAACCAAAAAGGCAAGGGATCTGTACTCAGGAAACTATAGAATACTCATGAAAGAAATTGAGGAAGACATAGAGAAATGGAAAAACGTCCCATGCTCATGGATTGGAAGAACAAATATTGTTAAAATGTCTATCCTACTTAGAGCAATCTACACATTCAATGCAATCCCTATCAAAATACCATTAACTTTTTTCACAGAACTGGAACAAATAATCCTAAAATTTGTATGGAACCAGTAGAGACCCCAAATAGCCAGAGTAATGTTGAAAAAGAAAACCAAAGCTGGTGGCATCACAATTCCAGACTTCAAGCTCTATTACAAAACTGTCATCATCAAGACAGTATGGTACTGGCACAAAAACAGACACATAGATCAATGGAACAGAATCGAGAGCCCAGAAATGGACCCTCAACTCTATGGTCAACTAATCTTCAACAAAGCAGGAAAGAATGGCCAATGGAAAAAAGACAGTCTCTTCAATAAATGGTGTTGGGAAAACTGGACAGCCACATGCAGAAGAATGAAACTGGACCATTTCTTTACACCATACACAAAAATAGACTCAAAATGGATGGAAGATCTAAATGTGAGACAGGAATCCATCAAAATCCTTAAGTAGAACACAAACAGCAACCTCTTCAACCTTGGCTGCAGCAACTTCTTGCAAGACATGTCTCCAAAGGCATGGGAAACAAAGGCAAAAATGAACTATTGGGACTTCATCAAGATAAAAAGCTCTTGCACAGCAAAGGAAACAATCAACAAAATCAAAAGACAACTGACTGAATGGGGGGAGAAGATATTTGCCAATGACATATCAGATAAAGGGCTAGTATCCAAAATCTATAAAGAACTTATCAAACTCAACACGCAAAGAACAAATAACCCAATCAAGAAATGGGCAGAAGACACGAACAGACATTTCTCCAAAGACATACAGATGGCCAACAGACACGTGAAAACATGCTCAACATCACTCAGCATCAGGGAAATACAAATCAAAACTACAATGAGATACCACCTCACACCAGTCGGAATGGCTAAAAGTAACATGTCAGGAAACAACAGATGTTGGCGAGGATTTGGAGAAAGGGGAACCCTCCCACACTGTTGGTGGGAATGCAAGCTGGTGCAGCCCCTCTGGGAAACAGTATGGAGGTTCCTCAAAAAGTTGAAAATAGAGCTACCCTATGACCCAGCAATTGCACTACTGGATATTTACCCCAAAGATACAAATGTAGTGATCTGAAGGGGCACGTGCACCCCAATGTTTATAGCAGCAATGTCCACAATAGCCAAGCTATGGGAAAGAGCCCAGATGACCATTGACAGATGAATGGATAAAGAAGATGTACTATATATACACAATGGAATATCATGCAGCCATCAAAAAAGGAAATCTTGTCATTCACAACGGGGATGTGGATGGAACTAGAGGGTATTATGCTAAGAGAGAGAAGTCAATCAGAGAAAGACAATTATCATATGATCTCACTGATGTGTGGAATTTAAGAAACAAGGCAGAGGATCATACGGGAAGAGAGTAAAAAACGAAACAAGATGAAATCAGAGAGGGAGACAAACCATAAGAGACTCTTACTCTTAGGAAACAAACTGAGGATTGCTGGAGGGGAGGGGGGTGAGGGGATGGGGTAACTGGGTGATGGACACTGGGGAGAGTATGTGTTGCAATGAGCCCGGGGTATTATATAAGACTGATGAATCACAGACCTGTACACCTGAAACAAATAATACATTATATGTTAATTGAATTTAATTTTTTTTTAAAAAGTGAACTTGATACTTTGGCAGGAATCTTAGTGCAAAGCAGAAAATTGTGACTGCTCTCTTTTTACTAAACACTTGTTATTATCTGGGAAAACAGCAGCATTTGGAGAAGATACATCTTGTTTGCACAAATAAAGTTTGTGGCCAAGCTCTTTCAAGTGATATGATCATTTTGATTGAGTATTAGACAAAAGAGCAGACTGTGACATCATGCTACTCTGACCAGAATGATATACTGATTCCTTCTCCAGGATTCAGTGCTGGGATTCTGTTGTATCCCATCAGAAACAGCTTGAGGAAGTAATAAATTATTTGCTGTATTGGAATTGAGTATGAACACAAGGAATATGTTGCCATGTATGGGATATTTAAGGTAGCCATTTTAGGATCACCTTCAAATATGTCCAATGAAGGCAAATAAGATTAAAGGTAAAAACTGAAGACATTTTACTAATGAGAGAGTATAATCAGCATGTTTAGTTCTGCAATATCTAACAAGGTGGTCTTGCACTGAATTTATATAACTGCAATTTCAGTTTATTTTCATTAGTATAGATAGATAAATAAATAAATATATACATACACATATATATATATATATATATATATATATATAGAGAGAGAGAGAGAGAGAGAGAGAGAGAGTTTTCTAAGATAATTCACTAAAACATCCTCTGGGACTTGTAGTGCCCAATTAAGTTGCTGAACTAATATCAACTCTTATAGCTTTTACATTTGTGTTACTCATAGGGCTGCACCAAGCTATTTCAGAGCATGAGGCAAAAGGAAAATTACATGCCCCAAGGTACATGTTTTAATGTAATTTTTAGTGGTTAACTTTTTCCAGAAGTAGGTTTTGAAAATACTATTTGTAAGTTTGCTTTCATTTAAACCAGAAAGTAAAATTACAATAAGCTCTGTTTCTGGTATAGAAAATATATAAACTTAAGGTGAGTTTTGATATACTACTTTTCAAATTGGTAATACATTATCAACTTCTTTAATGTTCTGGGAAAGAATAACCACTTAAAAATACATACAAACATGGGGCATCTGAATGGCACATTTGGTTGGGCCTTTGACTCTTCGTTTTGGTTGGGTCATAATCTTGGGGTAGTGGGATCAAGCCCTGCCTGGAGCTCCACACTCAGCACGGAGTCTGCTTGGGGCTCTCCCTCTGTCTTCCTCTGCCCCTCTCCACTCCACCCCTTCTCTGAAATAAATAAATAAATCCTAAAAAATTTTTTTAAAGATTTATTTATCTGAGAGATTACAAGAGAGAGCACAAGCAGGCGGGGGGTGGGCAGAAGGAGAGGAAGAAGCAGACTCCCCACTGAGCAGGGAGCCCGACAGGGGGTCAATTCCCAGGACCCATGAGATCATGACCTGAGCTGAAGGCAGACACTTAACCAACTGAGCCACCTAGGCGCCCCTAAATAAATAAATCTTTTTAAAAAAATACTTAAAAACATGTATATAGGGACTCACCTTTTTCTTTTGACTCAGGTTCCCATATGGTTCATCACAGCACTGTTGGATCCTACGTTTATTTGAAATTTTGATATTTGGTTTATCATGGATTTTTTCCCCATTCATTTCAATTTGTTAAAATACTGAGCTAAAACATTTATCATCATTACTGAATTTTTTTGGCATGCCCTTAAATTTTGCAACTGTAATCAAGACATTGGAGACCAGGATTTGGGTGATTACTGTTTTTTTTTTAAGATTTTATTTATTTATTTGACAGACAGAAAGAGGGAACACAAGCAGAGGGGAGTGGGAGAGGGAGAAGCAGGCTTCCCACTGAGCAGGGAGCCCAATGTGGGGCTTGATCCCAGGACCCTGGGATCATGACCTGAGCCGAAGGCAGACACTTAATGACTGAGCCACCCAGGTGCCCTGGGTCATTACTGTTAACAATGTTTAGGATCAGGCCGGTTCTTCCTAATTACATACATCAAACAATTAGGAAGGTATATATGTTAGGAAAAAGGAAAGCATTCTATTTACCCCTTTTCACATCAAACAGAGATAGCTGCATAAAAATCCACTTCCAGCGCTGGATCTGGGGTGGGGTGAGCAAGGCACTCACCTCAGGTGCAAAATTTAAGAGGGTGCCAAAAAATTCAGTCATCAAGATGAGTAATATTTTAACGCAATATTTTATAAAATCAATATATTTCAAAAAATATCCATGATGTACAAAACACCAACATTTTAAATACAGGATCAGTAACATTGTTGGGCCAAGCCATATCAGAGAGTGGAGCAAAAGGAAAAATCAGTAATACCTATATGGACTTCATTTAAAATGTTGATATTTTGTTCATCATGGATTTCTTGGCACTCATTTTTCTTTTGTAAAATGTTGCATTAAGATATTCAGCTTAGGGGCGCCTGGGTGGCTCAGTCGTTGGGCATCTGCCGGCGTCCTGGGATCGAGCCCTGCATCGGGCTCCCTGCTCTGCGGGAAGCCTGCTTCTCCCTCTCCCACTCCCCCTGCTTGTGTTCCCTCTCTCACTGGGTCTCTCTCTGTCAAATAAATAAATAAAATCTTTTTTTAAAAAAACATTTTATTTATTTATTTGACAGATAGATAGAGAGCACAGGTAGGCAGAATGGCAGGCAGAGGGAGAGGGAGAAGCAGGCTTTCCGCCGAGCAGGGAGCCGGATGTGGGACTTGATCCCAGGACCCTCCTGGGATCATGACCCAAGCCGAAGGCAGCCGCCCAACCAACTGAGCCACTCAGGCGCCCCTAAATAAATAAAATCTTTAAAAAAAAGATATTATAGCTTAAAAAGAAGATATTATATTATCTTGCACCCCACAGGAGTTCCTTATTCATCTCACCTAGTCCTGGCCCTGAACCACATTTGGCACTGTGACTCCCCCTCCGCCTGTCAGCACACACTAGAGATCAATCTGTTTCTGCCTCCCTCCCCTGCCCACCACCATGTACTAGTGACTCCTTTTCAGTCAAAAGTCACAGGATGAAGATGTAATGATCTCCCTTGACAATTGTGCTCTTAAATTCATCTACGTTATTCTCCAGTCGGCTGGTCCAGGCTGAGGAAAGACAGCAGCTGGTGTGGCTTTATAACAATGTCAGGATACCATTCCTGGGAGATGGTGATGACGGTGTCAATGATGACAAAGAGGCCTCGGAGGATGGGAGCCTGGATGAGTCCACCTCCCTACTTCCAGAGAATGAGGAGGAGCTGGAAAAGTTCATTCACTCAGGTAAATGACTGACCATTTTATCTCGTCAGATGCGAAGTTGCATGAAAGCTGAGCTGTCCATGACGGTTTGGTTTCCAAAGGCAAAGCTAGGAGGGATTTAATGGAGTTTGAGGTAATAAAGGTGAATATTTACAGCCACATCTACAGAAATGAACTGTTCTCATCAAATTATACAGAGGGGCAAACAGCCACGGGTTGCTTGGTTCCTTTTGTGGGGCAATTCCAAGGACCAAAAGCAGAGTTCAGGAGACAAAACTTTCCCCAGACTAAACTCTTCCTTTAAGCACACTCATCAGTGTAGCATTATTCCCGAGTCTAGAACACAGACAGACAGATGTCTCTCTTGCACAGTCTGCCTCCGTCTGATGTGAACAGGATCCAGCCCACGGAACAGACCCTTGTATGAGAGATGCTCACCATGCCTGCAAATCTTTGTGAAGAGAAGGCAGCATATGTGCTCATATAAACCTGATTTTGTAAAAGTTCTGAGATACCCGCTTAAAAAAATTCGAGAGCAAAAATATGTAGAGTGCAGTGTCTGATTCAACCATGTCAGTCTTCCCTTGTATGGACCTCCTCTCTAACAACCGCAGACGCAGGTAGTCAGAGACAGGCTGGAAGGCCAGGAGTAGGTGATCAGTGATGTTTACTGACATTAATGCCCTTGTTTACCCTTGGGAAATATTTTTTTCAATGTCTTTTCCTTACTTTGAAGTATAGCTTTTCTTCATTCTTTTAAGGTTTTATTTAAATTCCAGTCAATTAACATACAGTGTAGTATTAGTTTCAAATGTACACTATAGTGATTCAGCACTTCCATATGACACCCAGTGCTCATCACAACAGGGGCAATTCTTAATCCCCGTCACCCGTTTCTCCCCACCCTCCCACTCACCTCCCTTCTGGTAGCCATCAGTTTGTTCTCTATGGTTAAGGGTCTGTTTCTTGGATTGCCACCCTCTTTTTTCCCCCTTTGCTCATTTGTTTCTTTTTTTTTTAAGATTTTATTTATTTATTCATGAAAGACAGAGAGAGAGAGGCCGAGGGAGAAGCAGGCTCCCAAGGAGCAGGGAGCCTGATGCGGGACTCGATCCCAGAACCCCGGGATCACGACCTGAGCCGAAGGCAGACGCTTAACCATCTGAGCCACCCAGGCGCCCCTGCTCATTTGTTTCTTAAATCACTCATATGAGTGAAATCATATGGTATTTGTCTTTCTCTGACTTGATTCACTTAGCATAATATTCTCTGGCTCCATCCTTGTCATTGCAAATGGCAAGATTTCATTCTTTTTTATGGCTGAGTAATATTCTATTATGTATATATACCACATCTTCTTTATCCATTCATCAACTGACATTTTTTTTAATTGAGCATTTATAAAGCTTGTATATTAGATGTGGGAAAATAACTTTATTTTGGGGGGGAGTAAATAACTTTAAAATTCAATCTTCACCATCCTTTTCAGACAAATCACATTCATTATATCTTGAAAATTCTACTTTTTACACCTTTATTTTTCCATACCTTTTCTGTCACCTCTTTTATCTCTATTCCTCATTATTAGTATTTCAGTAACATTATGTCTATGTTTTAGTTATTAGATCCAAAAGAAGAGAGTATATGGTAAACAAGAGATTGAAGAAAGAACAAGATTTATTAATGGAAACAAAAATAGGGAATTCTATGCACAGTATATTCTCAGAGGATCTATGAGAGCAAACGGAAGAGATGCAGGATGTGCTAGCCAGTGTGGAGCCAACAGTTGCAAGGACAACCCACGACTGGGGACCTGAGCATGACTTACTCCTGGAGAGCTCTGTTCAGAGCGCTCTAAAGAAGAAAACTAGAAGTATATAACAGAAAATAAATCCATATGTGCAATGATTCTTGATTCTTAGCTCTCATAGTCCATTAATAATTATAACTTAATTGGAAAAGAGAAAAATCTAACTTCATGAATACAAAAAGAGACTGTCAGGATTTTTTTTCTAAATTTTTTATTTATTTATGTTTTTTAGGATTTTCTTTCCTTGGTCCTAACCAAAAGCACAAATGATTTCTTTGGGCAGTCTCTCAGACCAAGCTAAGGAATTGCTTTCATCATACAAAATTTTTCCAGGGCTATTATCTATCAATTCCAGTACCTTGCCTCTATTTTCCTCACAAAGAAGCTGAGAATATCAAAATAGATATGACACTGGATTAAGATGCAATCATCCCTGTTTTTAAGGAGCTGGGACCTGGTGAGGAAAAAGGGTCTGTAGGCAAGGAGCTGTAAAGCATGGCCAGTTGTGGGATGCTATAAGCCGGGAGCTGCTGAGAGCTGTGGAAATATAGGAGTCAAGACTGGATCCAAATGGGTCAGTGCTTTGGAAAACGGTCTGATGGTTCCTCGGAAAGTTAAACAGACAGTCACTACATGGCCTAGCAATTCCACTCTTCAGGTTAGGTCCGAGGAACCTGAAAACACACATACACAGAAAAACCTGGACACAAATGTCCACAGCAGCATTACTCATAAGAGCAAAAAGGTGGAAACAACCCAGCTGTCCATCAACTGACAAAAAGATAAATAAAATGGGGGTCTATCTATACAATGGAATATTCTTCAGCCATAAGAAAGACAGAAATACCGATACATCTACAACATAGAGAAACCTTGAAAACGTTATGCTAAATGAAATAAGTTAGACACAAAGGTCACACGTTTTCTGATTTCATTTATCCAAAATGCCCAAAATAATCAAATCCATAGAGGCAGAGAGTAGTTAAGTGTTTCCAGGAACTGGGTGAGAAGAGAAAAGGGAAGGACTGCTGATGGGTGTGGGGTTTCTTTTTGGGGTAAGGAAAATGTTTAAAAACTAGGTAGTTGTGATGGTTATACAACGTGGTGAATATACTAAAAAATGAAAAAAACAAAAACAAAACACCACGGGATTGTACTCTTTAAAAGAGCAAATGTTGTGGTATGTGAAAGAGATCCCAAACAAACTGTTGAAAAAAAGATTTTGTCTAATTTGAGGGTGAACTGAAGCCAGACCTAGGCTTCCTGACTCTTCCTTCCAGTTTCCATCCTTCCTAAAATAAAAAAATTATAACAACAACAACAAAAATTATAATAGACAACGTGACAAAGGAATAGTGGGGTATATATGAGAAATTGGGACAGTCCAAAGAATCTTTCAGCCAACAGTTTGCACCTGCCTTGGTGGTGCAGCCAGGAAGGAGTTACGTGTGGGATGGGTGGCCCAGGGGACAGCAGGGCAGTGCTGGCCGGTGTCCTGCACCGATCCACAGCCCCCAGACCCTGGGTGGGCCTTCAGTGCCCTTCAGTGCAACCTCATATCCTTGGGGAAGACACACACCCAGCCCCTATGAGATAAAATCCTAAGTTAGGAAGCAAGACTGCTATCTTAGTTGGCTCAGGCTGCCCTAAAAAAAATGCTGTTGATGAGGTGGCTTAAACAACAAATATTTATTTCTCACTGTCCTAGAGGCTAGAAGTCCAAGACCAAGGTGCTAGCATGGTTGAGTTCTCGGGCAAGCCCTATTCCTGATTTCCTCACATGGTGGAGAGAGGGAGAGAAGCAGCAAACTCTCTCGTTTCTGATTATAAGGGCACTGATCCCATTCATGAGGGCTCCACCCTCATGGCCTGATTACCTCCCCAAGGCCTCACCTCCAAATGACATCACGCAGGGGATGGGGGAGTCACAAACAGTCTATAGCAATTGCTTTTATTTTTTTTAAGACCTTATTTATTTCAGGGCACCTGGGTGGCTCAGTTGGTTAAGCGACTGCCTTCGGCTCAGGTCATGATCCTGGAGTCCCAGGATCAAGTCCCGCATCGGGCTCCCTGCTCAGCAGGGAGTCTGCTTCTCCCTCTGACCCTCCCCCCTCTCATGCTCTAGCTCATTCTTTCTCTCAAATAAATAAATAAAATATTAAAAAAAAAGACCTTGTTTATTTCAGAGAGAGAGAATGCGTATGCAGGCATGAGCAGGGAAGGGCTAGAGGGAGAAGCAGACTTCCCACCAAGCAGGGAGCCCGATGCGGGGCTCGATCCCGCAACCCTGAGATCATGATCTGAGCTGAAGGCAGACGCTTAAACGCCACCCAGGCACCTCCCCCCCATCCCAGCTACTTAAAATTTACTGGGAGCTAGCTGGTACTAGAGGAAGCAGGATGGAAATCCATTACATCATTGGTAACTCTCAGAGCAATTATATCCCAGCGTTCCAAATCAGGTGAGGGCCCAGAAAGTGGGGAATCCAGGGTTCAGTGTACCTCTGTGCCTCTGGAATCCATCAAGGTTTATGGCTAGGCTCTCTGGTCATTGGCCCCCAGCCTGGTACATATTCCAGTGTTGGTTTTGCGGGCAGCTCACTACATATCATATATAGACACCAGCATGGAGAGGCTGGACTGCTTTTTATCACCTTGAATAAACCAAGGAAGGGAAGAACATGAGTCTTCATGGGCAGATGTCTCTTAGCAGAAACCACTGTGGTAGGTGGAATTCTAAGATGGCCCCCAAGATTCTTGCCCCTGGTGTACATAGCTGTATCATTTCTTCCCCTTGAGTGTGGCTCTGTGAATATGGAAATGTCATGTATGGCCCTCCCATGATTAGGTTGAGGAGATAGAATAGTTGCTCTTTTAATTGTTACATTATATAAGACTCTGACTTAGCCAACTGGAGAGCCACCTCTCTGAGTCTTTAGGGACTGGCTCCATGCAGGGAAAGACTTCCACTAATCAACCTAGCATGAAAGCTTGAGGCCTTCTCCTATCTTTTCCGGGCATCATGCATCTCCCCTGGTGTGTGTCTGTGTGTGTGTGTTCCCCAATTCTACACATGTCTTAATTTTCTTAATGGTCTCACACCCAATTCTTCTGGTGTATTCCTCTGCCTAAACTGTCCCCAGCCACCTACCAGACTGCTGTCTTCCCGCAGCTATCCCAAGGTTTGTAATCTGCCAGTGTCCTTACTGCCTCCAACCTGATTTCCAAACGATTGCCACCATTCCCATCATCACCGAGGCAGGCGATGCAGAAACTGGACCCTGGGTCAGCTTTCAGACAAGCCAGAACACGGCAATCAAGCCCCACTGTTTTCCTTCCTTCCTGGACTTCTGTAGACCTCTAACTGATGCGTAAGTACTCGTAAAGCTATTTTGATCAGCATGTTTTGTTTATTCAGTGTTTTTAAGGATAGTAAGGGCCTGTAGATTCCGAGTCTGCCATTTATTGATGTCACTCTGGTTTAAGATTAAACTTTCAAAATTGTTTTTCTTATTGGCATGGTTGGCTTTTTGGAATTCTTGTCATCTATACAAAAGGTTTTCACTTTTGAGTGAGATGATTTCTATCTCACTAATTTGTAGGACTTCTTTATTAAATGATTTAATTATTTATATAGCTGCTTTTTAACAATTATGAGTGATTCACATATCTTCTAAACTGGGTGGCTCATCATTTCTGTTTTTGTGGTATTCTGTAATCATAGACTCTTTCCTTTTAATGTAATTGGTTATATTTTTTGTAGTTGGTTATATTTAAATACATACTTACTGTCATATTTTTGTGTCTGTTTTGAGAAATCCTCTATGTACATTGTACATGCATTCTCTTCAGTCAACTTGTAAAACAGTCGTTCCTGTCATTCCAAGTAAGCTCTCTCCACCTGCAACTAATATTTCTGTATACTTTGAAGAAGAGGTCTAAATTCGTATTTTACCATTAAAAAAATTTTTTTTAAGATTTTATCTATTTATTTGAGAGAGAGCAAGAGCCAGAGAGCACAAGCGGGGTGAGAGCACCAGCAGGGTGAAGGGCAGAGGGAGAAGCAGACTCCCTGCAGAGCAGGGACCCCGATGCAGGGCCTGATCCCAGGACTCCAGGATCATGACCTGAACCGAAGACAGGCACTCAACCAACTGAGCTGCCCACGCACCCCATATTTTACCATTTGTATACTTCATTGCTTCAGAATATATTTAAAAGCTTACATTCCTATTGCTATCTCATGCCACTTCCCCCATAATTGAGGATCAAAATATACACATGACCCTTTAAATGAGCTATATATTCTGTTACATTTTTTACCTAAATTCTATGCCCCTGTATCAATATCACAGTGCTTTTTACTGCTCTTTCAGAGAAATTACTGCAGACTTATTTAGATTATCTTTATATATGATCATTTGCCATAGGATTTTTTAAAAGATTTTATATACTTACCTATTTTAGGGAGAGAGAGAGAGTGCGTGAGCGAGCGAGCATGGGGGGAGGAGCAGAGGGAGAAGGAGAGAGAGAATCTCAAGCCAACGCTGAGCTGAGCGCAGAAGCAGAGCCCAACAGGGAGGCCCAATCCTGTGACCCGGAGATCACAACCCCAGCCAAAACCAAGAGTCAGACACTCAACAGACTGAGCCACCCAGGTGCCCCCCATATGATTTTTAAAGATATTTTCTCGAGGGCTGCCTACCTGGCTTGGTCGGCAGAGCATGTGACCCTTTTTTTTTTTTTTAAGATTTTATTTATTTATTTGGCAGAGAGAGACAGTGAGAGAGGGAACACAAGCAGGAGGGGGAGTGGGAGAGGGAGAAGCAGGCTTCCCGCTGAGCAGGGAGCCGGATGCGGGGCTCGATCCCAGGACCCTGGGATCATGACCTGAGCCGGAGGCAGACGCTTAATGACTGAGCCACCCAGGCGCCCCAGCATGTGACTCTTGATCTCAGGGTTGTAAGTTTGAGCCCCA